TTTTTTTTTTTTTTTTTTTTTTTTCCTGTATTTTAGTAGAGACAGGTTTTCACCATGTTGGCCAGGATGGTCTTGATCTGACCTCGTTATCCGCCTGCCTCAGCCTCCCAAAGTGCTGAGATTACAGGCATGAGCTACTGCACCCAGCCTTCTATACCTTTACTACTTACAACTATTCATATTTCCTATTTCTTTTTGTTTCAGTTTAGCAAATTATGTTTATCTAGGGATTGTTCCATTTAATCTAAATTTTAAATTTATTGGCATGCTATTCTCTGTTTATCATTTACATGTTTATCATTTACATGTGCCACTTCTTATTCCTGATACTGGTTTATTTGTGTCCTTCTTATTTTGTCTCACTCAATCTTGCTTGAGTTTATCAATCTTACTTGGCTTTTTTTTCCCTTTGAGACAGTGTCTCATTCTATCTCCCAGGTTGTAATGCAGTGGTGTGATCATAGCTCACTGCAGCCTGGAACTCCTGGGCTCAAGTGATCATCCTCCTGCCTTATCTGCCTACGTAGCTGGGATTAGAGGCATATACCACCATGCCTGATTTTTTTATTTTTTGTAAAGGTAGGGGTCTCACTATGTTGATCAGGCTGATCTCGAACTCCTGGGCTCAAGCTATCCTCCCACCTCAGCCTCCCAAATTGCTGGAATTTCAGGTGTGAGTCACCATGCCTGACATTACATGGCTTTTTTAAAAGAACTATTTTTAGTCCTTTTTCTTTTATGTTTGAGTTTTATTACTTTCTGTTCTTTATTACTTTATTACATTATTAGAGCTTTATTTGTGTATCTTTTCTAACCACTCGAATTAGATATTGATATCATTGATTTCAGCTCTTCTTTTCTAATTGTTTAGGGCTATCAGAACTATGTCACATTTTCTTATATAGCATCTTCATAATTTTTGAGTGGAAAATATTTTATAATTTCTATTGTGATACCTTTTATCCTTGGATATTTTATCCTTGGGTTATTTTCAAATGTTTTTGTTAATTTTATGCCATTTGGGAATTTTCTAGCAATCTTGTTGACTTTAATTCTCCTATGGTCAGACAACATGCTCTGAATTATGTCAGTATTAGCAGAATTTTGTAAACATTTTGTGCTCTTGAAAAAATCTATAGCCTAGGTATTGAGTATTAAGTACAATTTCTAGATGTGTCAGGAGATTAAGTTTGTTAGTTATGTTAATATCTGTATACTTACAGCTTATTCTATTATTTGAGAAAGTTTTTTTAAGTCTGCTAGTGAGACTAGACATTTGTTTCCTATTTAGTTCATTTAATTTTTTTTTCTTTCTGTATTTGAAGCTGTGCTATTATGTAATACAAAGTTATCACTATGGTAAATTGGCTTTTGTCATTATGAAGTATCTTATTTCTTAATGGTTTTTGCCTTAAAGTCTGTTTTGCCTGTTATCAATATTACTACAGCATCTTTCTTTTGGTTGTTGTTTGTATAGTACATCTTTTCTCATCTGCTCACTTTCACCTTCTGTGTATTCTTGTACTTTTTGTCTATATTTTATAAGTAGTATATTTTTAATTTTTTAACCAGTCTGACATTTCATGTCTTTCAGAGTTCAGTGTCTTTGTACCTAGTACATTTACATAATGTTTAACTTTGCCATTTTACTGTGAAAGTGTTTTGCCCATTCTGTATTCTTTTTCTTTCCATTCATGCTTTCCTTTAGATTTATCACCTTTTGTTTGTTTGTTTGTTTTTCGAGACGGAGTTTCGCTCTTGTTACCCAGGCTGGAGTGCAATGGCGCGATCTCGGCTCACCGCAACCTCCGCCTCCCAGGTTCAGGCAATTCTCCTGCCTCAGCCTCCTGAGTAGCTGGGATTACAGGCACGCGCCACCATGCCCAGCTAATTTTTTGTATTTTTAGTAGAGACAGGGTTTCACAATGTTGACCAGCATGGTCTCGATCTCTTGACCTCGTGATCCACCCGCCTCGGCCTCCCAAAGTGCTGGGATTACAGGCTTGAGCCACCGCGCCCGGCCCTAGATTTATCACCTTTTGGCCGAACCCAGTGGCTTGTAATCCCAGCACTTTGGGAGGCCAAGGCTGGCAGATCCCCTGAGTCAGAAGTTCGAGACCATCCTGGCCAACATGGAGAAATCCCGTCGCTACTAAAAATACAAAATTAGCTGGGCATGGTTGCACACGCCTGTAATCCCAGCTACTCGGAAGGCTGAGGGAAGAGAATCACTTGAACCCAGGAGGCGGAGGTTGTGGTGAGCCGAGATTGTGCCATTGCACTCCAGCCTGGGCAACAAGAGCAAAACTCCCTTTAAAAAAAAGAAAAAAAAGGCCGGGCACGGTGGCTCAAGCCTGTAATCCCAGCACTTTGGGAGGCCGAGGTGGGTGGATCACGAGGTCAAGAGATCGAGACCATCCTGGTCAACATGGTGAAACCCCGTCTCTACTAAAACTACAAAACATTAGCTGGGCATGGTGGCGCATGCCTGTAATCCCAGCTACTCAGGAGGCTGAGGCAGGAGAATTGCCTGAACCCGGGAGGCGAAGGTTGCGGTGAGCCGAGATCGCGCCATTGCACTCCAGCCTGGGTAACAAGAGCGAAACTCCGTCTCAAAAAAAAAAGAAAGAAAAAACGATTTATCACCTTTTGTTGTTCTATTTCCCCTCTCTAGTCACTTGGTAATTATAATATTTTAAATTATTTGTTCAGCAGATAACCCTGAGATGAAACCCTGCATCCGTGATTCAATAGTTATATGTAGGTTTTTCCCTCTTCCCAAGCAATAAAGAGATCTTAGAGTAGCTTATTCCATTTAACCTCACATATATTATTGAAATTATATATTTTAATTCTATATATGTCCAACCATGTCAGACACTATTATGTTTTATGCAGTCAATATTCATTTAAAATATTCATTTTTGCCTTTCCTTTCTCTTCATTTTTTTCAATGCTGAGCTTGTATCTGAGATTATTTTTCTTCTGCCTAAAAAACATCCTTTAATATTTCCTTTTACTCAGATATGCTTATCCCATATTCTCTTCTGTTTTTTTTCCGAAAATATCTTCATTTGACCTTCATTTTGAGGGGATCTTTTTGTTAAGTTTGGAACTTTAGATTGGCAGTTATATTCTTTCAGCATTTCAAAGGTATCATTTATTGTTTTCTGTCTTACATAGAATCTGTTGAGAAGTGAACCATCTGTCTAAACTTTTATATAAAAGGCAAGGCAGCAATATTTTCGGCTTTGTGGAATCATAAGGACTCTGCTGCAACTACTCCACTCTGCCAGTGTAGCACCAAAGCATCTATAGGCAACACATTAACCAAGTAGCGTGGTTGAGCTCCACTAAAACTTCACTTACAGACTCTGAAATTTGAATTTCATACATTTAAATGTGTCAGAATATCATTCTTTTGACATATTTTTCAACCACTTTAAATGTAAAAATTGGCTAGGCGTGGTGGCTCATGCTTGTAATCCTAGCACTTTGGGAAGTTGAGGCAGGCGGATCACTTGAGGCCAGGAGTTTGAGACCAGTCTGAGCAATATGGTGAAACCCCATCTATACTAAAAATACAAATTTTAGCCAGCCCAGGCATAGTGGTGTGATCTTGGCTCACTGCAACCTCCACCTCCAAGGTCGAAGCAATTCTCCTGCCTCAGCTTCCCAAGTAACTGGGACTACAACAGGTGCCTGCCACCACAGCCAACTAATTTTTGTGTTTTTAGTAGAGACAGGGTCTCACCATATTGGCCAGGCTTGTCTCTAACTCCTCCTTGTGATCCACCCGCCTTGGCCTCCCAAAGTGCTGGAATTACAGATGTGAGCCACCGCACCTGGCTCTCTCTTTTTTTGGCTGCTTTTAAGAGTTTAGTTTTCAGCAGTTTTACTGTTGTGTGCTTTAGTGTAGTTTTCTTCATATTTCTCGCACTGAAGATTCATTTGGCTTCTAAGGTTTGTGACTTGATTTTTTTTTTTTTTTTTGTCTGTTGTGGAAAATTCTAAGGTATATTTCTTTGACTCAGCTTCTGACCATTCTGTCTCACTCCTCTTTTTAACCTTCTAGGACTCTGATTACATTGTGCTAGACCTTTTCACCCTTCCTGGATGTCTCTTATGCTTTTCTAAAGTTTGCAAGTTTTTCATCATTTTGTGCTTCAATATGGATACTTTATACTGACCTATCTTCCATTTTGCTAACTCTCATGTGCTGTCTCTACTGTGCTCTTGTCTCATACTTTAAGTTACTATATTAATTTTTCAGTTCTAGAATTTTCATTTGGTTATTTTATACTTTAGAAATCTTTGTGAGATTGTTAATCTTATGTTCTTAAACATAGTTATCCTAGTTATTTTCAAGTTTATGTCTTGAGACCTCAATTATCTGGATTTATTTTAGATTTTAGATCTGTTTCTTGATTTTTTTTCCCATGTCACATTTCTCTCTCTCTCTCTCTTTTTTTTTTTTTTTTTTTTTTTTTTTTTTTTTTTTTTGAGACAATGTTTTGCTCTTTTACCCAGGTTGGAGTGCAGTGGTGCAATCTCAGCTCACTGCAACCTCTGCCTCCAAGTGATTCTCCCACTTCAGCCTCCTGAGTAGCTGGGACTACAGGCACACGCCACCATACCTGGCAAAAATTTTTTTGTATTTTTTAGTAAAGATGGGTTTTGCCATGTTCCCAAGCTGGTCTTGAACTCCTGACCCAGGAGATCTGCCCATGTTGGCCTCCCAACGTGCTGGGATTGCAGGTGTGAACCACCACACCTGGCCTTGTCTCCATTTAGGCCTGTTATTTTCGATTGGGTATCAGGCATTGACTACGAAAATCTATGGCAATAATAAGAGGTTCTAGATTATGTAATTTTCCCCATAGAGAATTAATGTTTGCTTTTGTCAGGCTGCTAGGCTAGGAGCTATAACAATCTTCAGTCGCTTTAATTCATTGCGAAATTTAAATCAGGTGGGTTTTAGTCCTTGAGCCAGCTGGTCTGTTTCTTAATCATTCTATTTGTAGGGCTTATCCCCTTAAGATTCTAGCCAAACCCTAGTTTTTCTAGAATTGTCCTGCTTAGAGGACCTAAATCCGTCTGTCTTTCTTGCCCTATGAGTTTATTAAAAGTTCTGCTTCATTATTCAGCATCTCAGTCATTTCTTAGAGAATTAACAGGCATTTGAAGGGGAAAATGGCACCAAATACCTGGATCCTTTTTTTAGTTTTCATTCTTCTCTTGTAATTTTTAAAGTCTTTCTAGCTTTCAAATGCTTCCAAACAGACTTTGTTTCTTTTGTCCAACTTTTTGAATTGTTCTCAGCAATTAAGTTGGTCCAGATTACTTAATCTGACATCCCTAAAGTGCAGACCTCTCAAATATAAGAGGTTTTATTTCTGGTTTTCATTCTTATTGTCTGGGACTAACATTTTGCTTTCACTCAAGAAAGGTGAGAATTTAGTGCATATAAATTAATGAAATTTCTATAAGTAAATTTATTGAAGAAAATTTCTAATTGCTAATATAACGTTTTTGTACTCTAAGCTTTTATAAATTTAGTGCATCTTGTAGCAAATTTTTCTGCTTTCCAACTTCTTATTCTTTGGCTTTTTAAATTTATTATTAGTTACTGAATTCCAAATTGGTGCTACAGACATGTTTTCTCTAGCTTTTCTTCTTATTTTATTTTTGAGACAGAGTCTTGCCATGTTGCCAAGGCTGGAGTGCAGTGGCGCAATCTCAGCTCACTGCAACCTCCGCCTCCCAGGTTCAAGCAATTCTCCTGCCTCAGCCTCCCGAGTAGGTGGGATTACAGGCGTGTGTCACCACACCCTGCTAATTATTATTTTTTTAGTAGAGACCGGTATCAACCACATTGGCCAGGCTGGTCTCAAACTACTGACCTCAGGTGATCCACCCACCTCAGCCTCCCAAAGTGCCGGGATTACAGGCATGAGGCATGGTGCCCAGCCTTCTTTTATTTATTTGTTTATTTTGAGACAGGGTTTTACTTTGTCACTCAGGTTGTAGTACAGTGATGCAATCATAGCTCACTGCAGATCCTCTAACTTCAGCTTTCTAAGTATTTAGGACAACACATGCGTACCACCATGTCTGGCTCATTTTTTATTTTTTGCAGAGATGGGGCCTCACTGCATTGCCCACATTGGTCTTAAACTCCTGGGCTCAAGCAGTCTTCCTGCTTTAGCCTCCTAAAGTGCTGGGATTACAGGCATGAGCCACCACACCCAGCCTTGTAGCTTTTTTTCTGACAGTGAAACGTTGTTTTTTTTTTTAAATCAGATTTTGGCAATATAATATCCTAGGACAACAAAAAATATGCTCAAATGAATTAAAACCATTTAAAGGTAAAAGAATGATAAAAAATAGCAACAGCATGACAGAAAATTAAATTTTATAAAAGTAATTTAGACAAATCATACTGCTTAAAAGTGAGTTTTAAAGTCATAAAACTGACTGGGCACAGTGGCTTACAGCTGTAACCCTAGCATTTTGGAAGGGTGAGGAGGGTAGATCACTTGAGTCCAGGAGTTGGAGACCAGCCTGGCCAACATAGCAAAACCCTTTCTCTACTAGAAATTAGAAAAATTAGCTGAGTATGGTAATGCATGCCTATAATCCCAGCTATTTTGGAAGTTGAGGCACAAGAACCACTTGAACCCAGGAGGTGGAGGTTGCAGTGAGCTGAGAGTGCACCACTGTACTCCAGTCTGGGCAACAATGAAACTCCGCCTCAAAAATAAAATAATAAAGTCATAAAACCATTCTACCATCTGCAAGCATTTTTACTGAATATATATTTAAACATTGAAGCACAATTACCTGAAAATGAATTAGAAGTTTTAAAAAGCATTAAAGTATCTTAAAAATAAGATATTGCATATACAAACAAGTTGCAAGACCAGTATCCTACAGTGTTTTTTGGGTTTTTTTTTTAGAGAATTTTAGAGAAGCTGTCAGAAATGTTCTTAGGGCCATAAAAAAGTTGTAAAGTCTACCCTTAATTAAATAATAATTATCACTATTTGAAATATCTGTAAGTATAAATATTAATTTTTAACTAGTTTATTGTTCAGCTCTGTTTGAAAATCAGTGTTTTTTTCCATGTAAGTTTTATTAAAAGGTATGTACAAAGACTTGAATAAACTATTCTGCCAGTGAAATTTGAGAAAGCTCTGACAAAGCTAGTCAATCAAGAATGAGAACAAATAGAAAGTATGGTTGGGAACTAATGTCTGGTTTGTGGAGTAAATAGAAAGCAAGGAAGTATGACAATTCGTGAGTTTGTCAAAAGTTGAAGAATACCATCTTAAATAGTTGGCTCTAAAACATGAATGGATTTTTTTTTTTAAGAGACAGAGCCTTGCTCTGTCACCTAGGGTAGGGTACAGTGGCACAATCTTGGCTCACTGCAGCCTCTACCCCCTGGGATCAAGCAATCGTCCTACCTCAGCCTCTTAAGTAACTAGGACTACAGGTGCACACCACCATGCCTGGCTAATTTTTGTATTTTTTTTGGTAGAGACAGGGTTTTGTGCTTTGTTGCCCAGGCTGGTCTCAAACTCCTGAGCTCAAGCAATCCTCTCACCTTGGCCTCCCAAAAGTGCTGGGATTATAGGCATGAGCCACTGTGCCCAGCTGAATGGACTTTTTTAATGGGAAAGTTTCATTGAATTTACTACTTTAGTTTTTACTGAACCAGCCTCCCTTAGCCCTCCCTTCCTCTCCCTAGAAAACAAGTCAGTGTGAAACCAATTAAAACCACATATTCATTATCCATATATTTATTACTTTTATTATTCTGTTTAGTGAGATTTCCCCAGCTTAGGAAAGGAATTACTTGATTTTTCTCTTTTTTACCCCAGACCTGGAGACCAAACCTGCAACCAAGAATGCTACACGAACAAAGGATGTTTCTGAAGATTTATCACAGCAGGCCATAGTAGAGAAACATACAGAGAATAGTCTATGGGATTCCAGAATGGAAGGGTTATGGAAATGGAATGATAGGATATTGAGATTACAAAATAATCAGGAGAATCATTTGAGTCAAAGAATAATTACACTCAAGAAGACTCCCACTAGTCAAAGAGGCTTTAGATTTGAATCTATTCTTATTCCAGAACCAGGTGTTCCCACAGAAGAGGTTCATAGTAGATACCAAACACAAGAGGAAAATTTCGCAGAAAATATGGATTTGATTACAGATACCCATTTGAGAAAGATAATTTGCAAGGAAATGAAAGGCAGCAAAGCCATAAGGCAGACTTCAGAACTTACTTTGGGGAAAAAATCCAATAATAAGGAAAAACCCTACAAATGCAGTACCTGTGAAAAGGCCTTTCGTTATAGGTCATTGCTCATTCAGCATCAAAGAACTCACACTAAAGAAAAACCTTATGAATGTAATGAATGTGGGAAAACATTCAGCCAGCCTTCATATCTCAGTCAGCACAAAAAAATTCACACTGGAGAAAAACCCTATAAATGTAATGAATGTGGAAAGGCCTTCATTGCTTCTTCATCACTTATGGTACATCAGAGAATTCACACTAAAGAGAAACCTTATCAGTGTAATGTGTGTGGGAAATCTTTTAGCCAGTGTGCCCGTCTTAATCAGCACCAGAGAATTCAAACTGGTGAGAAACCTTATAAATGTAGTGAATGCGGGAAAGCTTTTAGTGATAAGTCAAAACTTGCAAGACATCAGGAAACTCACAATGGTGAGAAACCCTACAAATGTGATAATTGTGGGAAAGCCTTTAGGAATAAGTCGTATCTTAGTGTACATCGGAAGACCCATACTGAAGAGAAACCATATCAGTGCAATGAGTGTGGGAAGTCTTTTAAGAATACCACAATTTTTAATGTGCATCAGAGGATTCATACTGGAGAGAAACCTTTTAGATGTAATGAATGTGGAAAAGCCTATAGAAGTAATTCAAGCCTTATCGTACATATAAGAACCCACACTGGGGAAAAACCCTATGAATGTAATGAATGTGGGAAAGCATTCAACCGCATTGCAAATTTCACAGAACATCAGCGGATTCACACAGGAGAAAAACCCTATAAATGTAATGAATGTGGGAAGGCGTTCATTAATTATTCATGCCTTACTGTACACCACAGAATGCATACAGGAGAGAAACCTTATAAATGTAATGAATGTGGAAAGGCCTTCATGCGTTCTTCTTCTCTAATTATACATCAGCGTATTCATACTGAAGAGAAACCTTATCTGTGCAATGAATGCGGGGAGTCTTTCAGAATAAAATCACACTTAACTGTACATCAGAGAATTCACACTGGAGAGAAACCATATAAATGTACTGACTGCGAGAGGGCCTTCACCAAAATGGTAAATCTCAAGGAGCATCAGAAAATTCATACTGGAGTGAAACCCTATAAATGTTATGATTGTGGAAAGTCCTTTAGGACTAAATCATACCTTATTGTACATCAAAGGACACATACTGGAGAAAAACCATATAAATGTAATGAATGTGAGAAAGCCTTCACTAATACATCACAGCTTACCGTGCACCAACGAAGGCATACTGGAGAGAAGCCCTATAAATGTAATGAATGTGGAAAGGTTTTCACAAGTAACTCAGGCTTTAATACACATCAAAGAACACATACTGGAGAGAAACCATTTAAATGTAACGACTGTGGGAAAGCATTTAGCCAGATGGTACATGTCACAGAACACCAGAAAATCCACAGTGGAGAGAAGCCCTATAAGTGTGATGTCTGTGGAAAAGCCTTCAGGAGAGGTTCTTACCTTACAGTGCATTGGAGAACACACACTGGAGAAAAACCCTACACCTGTAAGGAATGTGGAAAGGGTTGTATTACTGTATCACAGCTAACCTTACATCAGAGAATTCATACTGGGGAGAGGCCCTATAAATGTGAAGAATGTGGAAAAGCCTTCAGAACTAACTCAGACTTTACTGTACACTTGAGGATGCATACTGGAGAAAAACCCTATAAATGTAATGAATGTGGAAAAGCCTTCAGGAGTAGTTCAAGCCTTACTGTACATCAAAAAATACATCAGAGAGAAACTCAGTCAATATGAAGATGGTAAGTCATTCATCCAGATGTCAACTCCAGAAGATGAATCTTATAAACTATATATTATGAATATAGGAAAATCTTCATTAGGAATTCAGAAATTATACAGAGAAGCTCTATAAACAATTATGTAGGAAATAATAATATTAATTTGTAGAAGTTATAAGAAAACTCTCACTAGAGGAAAATAATGAACAAATGAAAGCTTTTATCCAGATTTTATACTTTACTCTTTTAACAAATTATCTTCAGTTAATTGCCTATATATGTATTTGCCTATTTTTCTATTCATTTATCTGTCTTTTCTTATAAACTTAGAGGAACTTTTAATACATTTTAGGTATTAATCATTTGTCATTATGTAACATGTTTTTCCTAATCTAGCATTTGCCTTTATACTTTTTAGTAATGGCACAACATTTTTTTAAGAAAATATATCATTTTCTTTTTAGATTTTTTATTTACTCATTTTACTTAAAACAGATCTCCTTAATGCCTAGGTTATACGTAGCATCCTAAATTTCTTTTTAAGATTTTGATGATTTTATTTTTTACATTTAAGTCTTTAATCCCCCTGGACTGGATGGTTCTTCATAGGAGAGCAACTCTAAGTGATAATTAACCCATGAAAAGATTTTGAACCTAAAAAGTACTCAGGGAAATGAAAATGGAAATGAGCAGTGAGATGAAACTTCCCCTTCATGGATTTGGTAAATGTTAAGAGATCTTTTGCTATTGGGGTTTGGAAAACCATGTATCCTTATTTAAAGGTTACATAACATATTTCCACCATCAGTCCAACAATATACATTTAAAAGCTTAAAACATATATACTGTTAGGCCCAGCAGTCTCACTTTTGGGATCTGTCCAATAGAAACAAAAGCAGCATCAATGCATAAGAATATAAATAAACATGTTTGTTGAAGTATTGTTTGTAGAAGGGGCAAAGCCCCAACTGCAAACACAGTGAATGCCCATTAATATGGGAAATGGTTAGATAAATTGTGACATATCCATATTATGGAACAGTGTGAGAGTAATTTTTTAAATGAATTATATACTAGCTGATTTCAATGTATTTCCACAATGTATGATAAATAATTGCTTTATAGCAGAAATGTATATATACAGTATTTCATTTTTGTTAAAATAATCATACTCATTATTTTGTATTTATGTGTGTGTGTGATTAGATGCACATGGAGACAGGTATGGAAGAATATACACCAGGCTGTTGATATTGATTACCTTGAGGGGAGGGAGCAAAGGAGAAATAGAGATGAGGGGAGAGTGTAAAAACAGAAAAATGTAAATGCAACACATATGGTATAAAACTGTGTATGTAATATTATGTATTTATGTGAACATTTGAGAGAGATGAATGAAAGCATGTTCTCCAAAAAATTAATGATGGTTATTTCTGTTTTAGTGAAGTGTCAGGTATTTTTTGTTTTTTTTTTTTTACTTTCTTTTCTGTGTTTTTAAGTTAAATTTTTCTTTGCAATGAACATACAATATTTATATAAAAAGGAAAAATCTTTTTATTGTGCACTTTATTTGTTGGAAACCTTCAATGTGCAGGACCTACCCTCAGTGCTGGATATGCAGTGAGGGGGAGAGGTGCTCGTGGATCTGAGAGCATGGAAATTGTTTCTTATGTTACCCAAATTCCAAAAAATGTTCCTTGGCACCTTATTCCCACCACTGAGTTTTATTTGTAGGAAGTGATAGAAATTCCAAATAAATGAAAAATATGCCCAAGAATATCTGAAACTTGTACCCAGAAAGTAGACCGGAAGACCACAAGCCTCGGAATTTCCACTTTCAACATGCCATCAAAGAAAAGGTCACAAAGGCAACAATAGGTGTCTTTATGGATCTATGTAAAGTCTCTCAACTTTGCATAATGAAGTATAGAGAGAGAAAATAGCCAATACCTCCCAAGTCTATAAATGAGGGCTTAGAAGTTCTGGGAACACTATGAAATACTTGTGCTAGGAGGGGCCTAGAGTAACAGTGGGAACCCAGAGGCTGTGGCCCGAATACCAGAAGGCCCTAACATACCAAAGACCTGACATCGAAAAGAACAAGGCATGATGAGTTACACTTCAGAGAGGCTAAGAAAAGAAGAGCAAATACCCATTTCACAATGCCAGGGTAAATACATATTTAACATTGGAAAGGAATTAGAGGATGAATGATGTGAATTATCTTCCTTCATAAATGAACAACTTGACATTCGGGTTAGAATGACCATTTTTGATTGAAGTTTAATAGTGAAACTTATCAACTGTTGCTAAGAGACTAATCCTCATTGAAGATAGTTAATGTACCACTTTCTGACTGAAAGGTTGGAGAGTCAGACCTTTAAGAAGCCCTGCTGTCACAGAGTTCAATGTGGCATAATGCCAACATTGTTGGTCACTCCATTCTGCCTCCAAATCCTCACTACAACTAAACGCTGCCTCCCATTCCTGCCTTAGAGGCAAGCACTTCAAGATGAGGAACATGGTCAGCAGGTTCAAATGAGAAGAAGTGAAGAGTGTCCGTTGAGTAAGGGCCTGGGGATGACCCACACCAACCTGACTAGAGCAGTTTGAGTGGCACAGTGAGCTGGCAGGGTCTGGTTCTTGTGCATGCCACTATTCCATTATGGGTTTAATTTGTACTTCCTCAGTGGATAATACTGTTGAACACCCCTTTCTATATGTGTTAGCTTTTTAAATATCTTCTTTGAGAAGTACCTGTTCAAGACTTTTGCCACTTTTTAATTGGGAACTGCTTTTTGCTCACTTGTAGGATTCTTTATGTATTCTGGAGACAAGATTTTTTTTAGATGTTTGTATTACAAATATCTGCAGTTACCTTTTCACTCTCTAAATGATGTTCTTTGATGAATATAAGTTCTTAATTTTGATAAAGAGTAACTTTTCTTTATGAATAGTGCTTTTTTTGCCAAGTTTAAGAAATATTTTCTTAAGGTAATAAAGATATATTTCACATTTTCTTCTACATATCTATTTTATGTGTATGATCCATCTGAAATTAGTATTTATGTATGGCATGGAGTAGAGTTCAAAGTATTTTTCATACAAATAAGCAATTTGTTCAACATCATTTATTGAAAAATCCATCTTCCCATTTTTTCCTTGAATTGTAGTTAAACATTAATTATAAATCAGATGATCATGCATGTTAGGGTCTTTTGGACTATTCTGTTTCATTGTTCTATATGTTTATTATTGTACCAATACCAAATATTTTAAATGAAAACTGGTAGTACAGTTGACCTTTGAACAATTCGGGGGTTAGGGGAACTGACCGCTCACACAATCAAGAATCATTGTATAACTTTTGACTTCAAAAAGTTAACTACTAATAACCTATGTTTGACTAGGGGCCTTGCCAATAACAGTCAATTAACACATATTTTGTATATGTATTATATACTGTATTCTTAAGTAAGCTAGAGAAAAAATATGATTAAGAAAATCATAAGGAAGAGAAAATATATTTACTGTTCACTAGGTAGAAGTGAATCATCATCAAAATCTTTATCTTCATCATCACGTTGAGCAGTACTGAGGTGGAAGAAGAAGTGGAGGGGTTGGTCTCAGGTGGCAGAGGTAGAAGTAAACCCATATGTAAGTGGTCCCACACAGTTAAAACCTGTGCTCAATTATCAACTGTGTATGTTTTCTAATTTTGTTCTTATTCAAAATTGTCACTGCTATTTTAGGTCCTTGGCATTTTCATATACATTGTTGAATGATTTTTTTTTAATTACACCATACCAAAAAGCTAGGATTTTGTTGGCATAACATCAAAAACATGAGTTAATTCTGGAAAAATGAATGTACAAACATGAATATTGAAACATTCAATGTATGAGTATTCCAAACCTTTTTATTTATATAGATATTTTAATTTCAACATTTTGGATTTTGTTATTGTTGTTGTTTGGCCTTGCTACGTCACCCAGGCTGGAGTACAGTGGTGCAATCTCAGCTCCTCCCGGGCTCAAGTGATTCTCCTGCCTCAGCCTCCCAAGTAGGTGGGATTACAATGCCTGCCATCACACCCAGATAAGTTTTTGTATTTTTTTTTTAGTAGAGGTGGAGTTTCCCCATGTTGGCTTGGCGGGTCTTGAACTCCTGACTTCAAGTGATCCACCTGCCTTACAAACCCCTGACCTCAAAATTTCAGCAATTTTTGTATTTTTGCAAAGTTTTGCAATTTTTTTCAATTATAGAAGTTATTATATGTTTTCAGTTGTAGAAGTTTTGTTAGATTAGTACTATGTATTTGATGTTTTTGATGCTATGAATGCTATAGCATTAAATGTTGATTATTACAACATAGGTATACAGTATATCATATATATATATATACCTATATATGGAATAGATTTTTTGCAATTTTTTTCAATTATAGAAGTTATTGTATTTTTCAGTTGTAGAAGTTTTGTTAGTAATATGCAGCATATTCTTCTGTGTCTGCCTTCTTTCAGCGTAAAGTTTTGCAGTCCGTTAATATGGTGTGCGTCAGTGTTTCATTCTCTTACTGCTGATTAGCATACCATTATATTAATATATGACCACAATTGATTAACTCACTCGATGGCTGTTTCCAGTTGGGGGTTATGATTAATAAATCTGCTATGAACAGTCATGTACAAGTTTTTGTGTAGGCCTATTTTTTTTATATTGCATCAATTTCTAGGTTTGGAGTTGCTAGTTCAAATGATAAATATATGTAAAACTTTATAAGAAACTGCCAATTGTTTTCCAGAGTATTTGTACCATTTTACAACCCACCAACAATGTATGATTTTTTGATGTAATTTCAGCCTTGCCAACTGAATTGTCAGGTTTTTTGTTTTATTTTGTTTTGTTTTTTTGAGACAGAGTCTGCGTCCTGTTGCCCAGGCTGGAGTACAGTGGCAATTTTGGCTCACTGCAACCTCTGCCTCCAAGGTTCAAGCGATTCTCCTGCTTCAGCCTCCTGAGTAGCTGGGACCACAGGCACGTGCCACTACGTCCGGCTACTTTTTTGTATTTTTAGTAGAGATGGAGTTTCACTGTGTTAGCCAGGATGGTGTCGAACTCCTGACCTCATGATCCACATGCCTTGGCCTCCCCAAGTGCTGGGATTACAGGCGTGAGCCATCGTGCCCAGCCAGGTTTTTTTTTAATTGTAACTTTTCTAATGTGTGCAGCAGTGCTTTAAGGTGGTTTTGCTTTGCATTTCCATGTTGAGCATTTTTCGTGTGCTCAATGGCCTTTATATCTCTCCACTGTCAAGTATGTTTAAATATTTTGCTCATTTTAAGAATTAAGTTATTGGTCTTAGTATTAAGTTGTAATGCTCTTTGTTTAGTCTAGATACAAGTCGTTTATCATATATACATGTTGTGAATATTTTCTCTCAGTCTTTAGCTTCCTTTTAAATTTTTCTAGTGGTGTCTTTTGAAGAGCAGATGTTTTGGATTTGGATGGATATATCAATTTGTCTTTTTGTGTGTGTGTGTCATACCTTTTTGGTTCTTACTTTAAAAAATTTTAATCTACCCTAGGATCCTGAAGTTTTTCCTCCTGTTTTTTTCTGGAAATTGTATGGCTTTATATTTTATGTTTAGACCTACACTCAATTTTGAGTTAATTTTTCTGTCCATAGGTTTTGTTGTATTTTATTATCATTCCATTAAAAATATGTTCTAATCGTCATTATAATTTTTACCTTGACCCTTGACTATTTAGAGGTATGTTAATTGGTTGTAAAGCATTTGTGGATTTTCTACTTATCTATTACAGATTTCTAGTTTAATTCCAATGTGACCAAAGAACACACACTATATTATTATTATTATTATTATTATTATTATTATTATTATTTGAGACAGAGTCTCACTCTGTCGCCCAGACTGGAGTGCAATGGCGCAATCTTGGCTCACTGCAACCTCTGCTTCCTGGGTTCAAGTGATTCTCGTGTCTCAGCCTCCCGAATAGCTGGGATTACGGGTGTGTGCCACCACGCCCAGCTATTTTTTTTTTTTCTGTATTTTTAGTAGAGATGGGGTTTCACTATGTTGGTCAGGCTGACCTCAAGTGATCCAATCACCTCGGCCTCCCAATGTGCTGAGATTACAGGTGATGAGCTACTGTGCCTGGCCTCACACTATGTTACTTTAATCCTTAGAAGTTTTTGAGACTTAACTTTATGGTCCAGCCTCTGGTATATTTTCTCTAATGCTTCATATTCACTTGAAAATAACATGAAAGTAAAAGAATTTTCACTTGAAAATTCTGCACTTAGATGTTAATGTTCTGTAAATACTAATTAGATCAAGTTGGTTAATAATTTTCTTCGTATCTTCCACATTCCTAGTGATTTTTTTTCTTTGAGATGGAGTTTCGCTCTTGTCACTCAGGCTGGAGTGTAATGGTGCAATCTCGGTTCACTGCAACCTCTGCCTCCCAGGTTCAAGCGATTCTCTTACCTGAGCCTCCTGAGTAGCTGGGAGGCTGTCCACCACCTGTCCA